AGTCTTTCACGACGAGGAGTACGAAAGCTTCCCCAGGGAGCTGGTCTTCTTTTACACATCACATGTACAATGTGGTCAATAAAAACCATGGTGCTTCGCTCAATGACTTCTGCAGCACCGTGAACTATTCCAAGAATAGCGATGTCCACTAAGCTTCCAAGATCCGCTTGCAAAATTCGAAAAACGATCGCTGCGCCACAATACAACGGCGACAAAAAGACGTAGGAATAAGCCGGATGGGTGATGTTATATAACTTCTGAACGCAAATACGAGAAGTAACTTTAACAAAAACACCAGCCAGCGGAGCGAATATCGCAATCAACAGTTTTCCATCTGCATCTTCCTTGTTGTACACTGGATAAATCAATGAAGCTACAAGAAAAAAGGTCAAGACACCTAAGCAACTTGGTACTACCATTTGGAAGAACAAGGTAACCTTCTGTCTCGAACTTTTGCAGAAGTAGTTTGTTAAAACATACGTTTGTAGGCATTGATTAAGAAGGAAACAAAGTTTAAGAGGAACATCTTGGGCATTTGAAAGCTTGGAGTGGGATATACCGAGAGCTTGGAGGGCTACGCGATAAATTGTATCAAAAGAATAAGTGAGAAAACAAATCACCAGCAGTTTTCCTTTCACTCCCATCAACTGAAACGGACGAAAAAGAAGCTGCAAAAGTACAAAGAACCAAATATATAGAAATATACAAGAAACAATATTGGAAATTATTCTCATCCACTGTATTTCTGTTGAAGTTGAGTTCATGAGGTGGAACTCACAATTCTCCACAGTCTTAAATGAGAGATAAGTAACCATCATGTATATTGTTCCTATGAAGATAGCGGTGACAATCGAAATTAAAGCACCAATGTACATTGATTTACGAACTGTGCAAAGAGCAGATGGTCTCAGTTGCTTCCAAGCCAAAGTTATGTCTTTATCATCATGATGAGCCATTTGTTCCGGTGATTCTTCATTTTTGTCGGGTGAGCATGCGTCGATCACTTTGATGTCAAGACTGCTAGAGGCTAAATACGCCAGGCTTGTGGCTTCCCTGACGCTGTATTCCTGGTAAATAAGTTCATCAACAGGTTGATAATACCATTCTCGTCCCGTGTTTTCCAAAGGATTGTAGCCAAATGATTCGGCAGTGAATTCAGGTTCATCTGGATTGTAATGTTCTGTCACACCTCGTGTAAAACCGAACAGGATACGACCCAACACCTCTATCAGTGTACTGCTACTCATTGTGTTAAAGTAGTCGGTGAATCCTATACATTGCAATACCTTAATTCATATTGTTTTAGCTGACATTAAACATGCAAGGCGAGAACTGAGCAGTGGTCAGAGAGGTTAGCTGTTAAAAACTAAAGCAATGATCACTGAAGTTAAGGTATGCATGAAATCAGTTAAGAAAGCAAAACAGTATAGTGGGTGCGAAAGTTGCCTCATAAACATCAATTCTGCTAAATGCCAAATTTAGTAAATTGGTAACATCGATGGGATGTGATAAAAATGAGGCACTTTTTTCTGTATCAATTTATAATCACATTGTGAATCATGAAGAGACACACTACTGCTAAGAGGGTATCCCTAAAAGAACAAGGTAGTCCCTTATGGTACACTCGCCACAAGCAGGAAATTACTGCTAATAGCATACCATTTTTATCCATAACGCTTATTGTCTCGCGTGATTAAATTATGGGTCGGAAAAGATTGTGGCTGAGGTAATGAGCGGTTGCGGGTTCGAAAGCATTCACTCGTGTTACGTCAGGCGTTTGAGAGTGGTGCTGAGAAATGTTAGTGCTCGTTATTGCTTCAAACATTTCTTGTTTCCTTGAGTACATTTTCTGCAAACAAGATCAGATAGTGGTCGCTGAGTGGTTGATTTTTTCCTTCATACTTCTATAAAAATGAAGTTTCATTGAAGTGGCTCGACAAGGCCTTTTCAACAGGAAAGTCCTTGACGAATTGTGGAAATTAAAGCAAACATATATGATTTTCCTGTACATGTAAATTCGATTGAGATATCAGCATATTTTAAAAACCTTTTCTTTACAAAAAATGTAAATAATTTTAAGCTATTTCAACTGAAATCCAACGATAAATTCCTCTCACTTACTCGGCTCGTCTAATAAGGCCCAGAGCCCAGATATCAAAAGACAACTGCTTGTTAATGACTCTCAGTTGCTCTTTATTGGCTTGGAGTTGACTCTATTACGTTGTTAAGTACAATACTCACAATACTCTCTGTACTTCAGTGTTATATACACCCACTTTTATCATGATCAGCCAGAAAGCCAGCTGCTTAATAAAAACTAACGCTGACGTAAGTCTTCTCTCAGATTGAAACAAGTTGATTAGCAAGAAACCTAAACCTTCAAGAAAACTACTTTTTCAAAATAATATTTTGATTTTCTTTCTATGTTTTCACTCCTTAGCTTACTAGGTTACCGCCTGGCCAATATAAAAAAGCAACATTTTACGTCTAATTAAAAATTATTTGCTGCCATAAATTCGGTTGAAAACTCAAGAAAACTCAAAAACGTACGTAATCTTTCCCTGGCATACACTTCAGAAGGGTCGAGCTGAGGTTAAAAAAATATTCAACGCTGCAATATTTTTAACATATACAGGCTTTGCATGTTATACGCTGAAAACCTCAGTTAGGGCACTTGTATGAAAAGAACTGTTACCGCGGAAATGGTTTACTTCGGAGACTAAAGTGCGACTAAATGGTGCATTTGCGTTGCACCAAATTCATGTCAGCAGAAACCATCTATTGTTGGTTTTCACATGACGTCATTAAAATTCAAACTAAAAAACTATCGATCCTACCGAGATTTTACTTGCACAATGCATTAGAGCAGCTGAAAACTAATTTTCATAAAAATTTTCGCTTCAAAAGGGTTCTTGAATTTGTGATAGATTACGGTTGAATTTCTAAGCTTTTGCGTGACGCTACATTTCATGTAGGTTAAAAAAATGACTTATTTCGGGAAATTTTGCTATCTAAACAGTTCATGTATTAGAAAAAGTATTACTTTAATGTTTATGAGTTTCTCGAAGAATAAATTCACGCTTTTGTGGCAAAACTCGGTAACAGATGTTTCTGTTGGTTTCCGTCCGCCAGTTGGAGCTCATCCAGGTGAGCACCAGCATGGCGTCTCCATACAAATCTCTATAAGTTTGGGTGAAACATTTCTTCGGATATCTCGCGTATACGAAATATTCCTCTAACCTGAATCTTGGCGAGGGTCTTTGTGTATGTACCTCCTTTCATTTCCCAGATTCTGGACTTTATCTATTGAATGGTTTTGAGTTTGATTTTGATCTATTTTGAATGACGTGACACTGAAAACCAGCAATTGATCGTTAGTTAAAGTTACATGTTAAAAGTTATATTGCCTGCATGTTTATTGTTTAACAGCTTTGCTTTATGTTCTATGTAAATGGCATTTTACATGGCCTATTGAAAATTTCGCTACTACCATGTAAAATATCTAAGAGAGTACCGCCTGTAAACAAAGCAATTGGAATCGCATTTGCAATCGCCACTAGAAGGTGTCGCCTCCATCGTCTTCGCCAAACAGCCATGACAGCCATGTTTTGATACCGACTCTCAATCGCTAGAGACACGCTGTTAAACACCCACTCAATCGCAAGAGAAACTGTCGTATTAATTGCAAATAACAGAAGTAAATTGTTCAATTTCTCTTCCCTTACATATATGAACTGATATAAGTATACGAATCCATTCACAGACACTATAGCAGCAGATTCATACAACATGCTCATGATAGCGATATCAGCCATTAGTCTCTCACGACGAGGAGTACGAAAACTTCCCCAAGGAGTGGATCTCCTCTTCCACAACATATGACAAATGTGATCTATTAAAACCATAGTGCTTCGTTCAATGACTTCTGCAGCGCCGTGAATTATTCCAAGTAAAGCTATGGCTTGTAAACTGCCAAGATCTGCTTGCAAAACTCGAAAAAGGACAGCCGCCCCACAATAGACCGGTGATAATAAGACGTACGAGTATCCCGGGTAAGTGATATATAACTTTTGAACACAAATACGAGAGGTTACTTTTACCACAACTCCAAGGAGAGGAGAAAAGGTTGCAATTAAAAGTTTCCCATTTGAATTGTTTTTCATGTATGCTGGATATATAACTAAGTGCGCCCAAAGATTGACAAAAAGCAAACTCAAAGAACCTGGTACCATCATTTTGAAAAATAAAGCCATTTTCTTTTGTGAACGTGGGCAGAGGTACTTTGTTAAAACATAAACTTGCAGACACTGATTGCTGAAAAAAAAAGCGGTGAGCGGAATTCTTAATGGATAAGAAATATAGGAATGAGATATACCAAGACCTTGGAGAGCAACACGATAAATTGTATCCAAAGCATATGTAATTAAGCACGCCAGGAAAAGTTTTCGTCTGATCCCTATCAACTGAAAGGGACGAAAAAGAAACAGCACGAGAATAAAAAACCAAAAATGATTAAAACTACAAGCAATTATATCCGAAAATGATCTTATCCATTGTATTTGTACTGAGGTTGAGTTCACGGTGTTATATTCACAGTTGTGTGCAGTTTTCAAGTATAAATACAACCCCATCGTAAAAATTGTTCCTACGAAGATAGCCATTAAAAGTGAAATCAGAGCTCCAATGTACATAGATTGAAAAACTGTTTGCAGAGGAGAAGGTCGCAGTCGCTTCCAAGCCATGGTTTGGTCTTTACTTTGCTTCACAGCCTCCTGGGTTTCTTCTGTTGAGCAGGCGTCAGTTACTTTAACATCAAAACTACAAGAAGCCAGATAATCTAAGCTTGTGGCTTCTCTGTCGCTGTATTCTTGGTAAATAAGATCATCAACAGGATGAGAGTACCATTCTCGTTCTGTGCTTTCCAGAGAATTGTAACCAAATGATTCAAATGTGAATTCAGGTTCATCTGGATTGTAATGTTCAGTCACACCTCGAGTAAAACTGTACAAAATGTGTCCAAACACTTCTATCAGTGTGCTGGTGCTCATTGTCCTTATTTCACTGGGTAGAAGAGATGAGGAAAATAACTCAGTTGGAACTAAATAAATTCGAATCTGAAGCGCGCAAGGCAAAACCGAAATATCTTTGCCATAAATAGATAGGCCCTTGTTATTTAACACCACTGTTTCAACCAAAAAGTGACGTGTCTCAGCAACTCGTCGCGGCGGGATGAAAAGCACCCTTTGCACTCAAATCATGATTGCGCAGTGACTATAGGTTCATCGTCTGGATTGTAATGGTAATGCTCTGCCCGGGGGATACTCCCTTATATGGCCTAAACGAGGGGTGAGGGGGATGAGCTGCTGGAGAGGGTATTGTTCTTGACCTCTCTGTCCTAAATTGCGCAGTCTGTCCTTAACAGGGTATGCAATTTTCCCTCCCCGGGAATGCTCTATTACACCTCGAATTTGACCGAGCACCCCTAACAGTGTGCTGGCGCTCATTTTGTCTCATGTAGTGGGACAGCAAGTCGATGAAAAAAAAAATTGTCAAATTACAGTAATTATTGATATAGATAAAGGTAATTCTAGCGAAACAGTATGATTTCAATTTCTCAAACGCACTTGTCAGCTATCAATATTCGAAACATCTGTTTTTAGTACGAAAGCTCTTCAACAGGAACTGGAGCGAGATCTGAATCGTCAAACGATAAGAATTTCAAACAAAAAGGTTATTTTAGCGGTTAGCAGCGGCGTTGTAATTTTATTGGCCACTTGTATTGCTGACGTTCCCCGTAAAGCGAGAGCGTGACTTTATACCTACCGACTTTTGGAAGTTAGGGCAACTACATTGGCACATAATTGAAATATGTCGGTTTCTAGTTAGCCATTAAATTTGCTAAATATGGAAGATACTTCCTTACCAAGAACTCGGTCCAATTATCCTGGCTCTCTTATCAAACGCTAACACTTTGATAGGTTTCCATGTCCCGGGACTCGTTTCTCGAAAGTCTCGACACTGTAATGTGTTGATTTCAAGATAGAGGTTTCAAAGGTTTTGCCACTAATATGTTAATAGAAATTAAAAGCAGCGCATCTGTCTCTATCTTTAAAGCTAAGCTTAAGACCTATCTTTTTCGACAAGCATATTTTTAGACTTTCAATTTTTTTCTTTTTTTGATTTTTAGGACTTTTAGACTTTTGATGTTTTTCGATTCTTAAGGATTTTTTACATTTTTTAGTGTGTAGATTAAAACATATTTGACACTGTAAAGCGCATTTGGGCGTAAGGAAATTGCCCTATAGAAATAAATTATTTATTATTATTATTTATTATTATTATATTATTATTTATTATAATACTGTCAGTTAATGGACTGCTTTGTCAGCTAGGAGCGACACTTTTATTATTTAGATTTTGATTTAAATATTTGATCAGTTAGGGCCCGAAAAGTTTAAGGGACTTTGACTTCGGAGAAACGGGCCCTAGCTGAACCTCAATTATAAATTAATAAAGTTTGTAGGTTCGAACCTGTGAAGATGACATTTCAGGTCCTCAACTTGAGCAAATACGTTTTAGCAGCCGTGAATATAATTATAAATTAAACTTTTCAGCCTCCAACCGGACGTGGTTATAGCTTTATGTTAAATTCTCTTAAATAGGAAAGATTGAGTCACCGACTTTGGTGACCTTACCACAGGTAACAAAGGCAGTTGTTTTTAACAGTTTATCTGCATGATGGGCTGTTAAACCTAGAATAATACTCAAGTGGAAAGTTACTCCTCTTTTCCTACAAATTTGGTCAATGGCCATACTTTTCTTTGAGTATTAACAAGAGTTTTAGCCTGTGCAGAAACTTTACATAAATCAGTTTTGCTTTTACCGACCTAATCTATTTTTCCCTCAAGTACTTCCTTTGTCAGTTTCAGATCTGAAGCGGGCCGGTTAGAAGTGCAAAACAAAAAACCCTTTAATTGATCTACGTCCAATGGCAGTAGAATACATCTATTTAATCATATTTGTAGTGAAAATGCACGCTGGCTGTTATCGCTGCATAACACTTCGTTCTAGTTCGTCAATTTGCCCTTCCCCTGATACGATTCTTCCTTTCTTTTTATTTATTTATTATTTTTTTCATGTTTTGAAACAAACGATTATACTGGGCACTCTGACATATCTTTTGGAGCTATTACGAGGGAAAACAGGAAAACTCTGGTTGTCTAATTTACCAGACTAGTTCTTTGGGCTCCTGACATTGGTTACTTTTCAACACTGTAGTTCCTAGTGATATGCAAATTTGACGCCATCGGATCACGCCTATCTATCACATCACCCGAAATGCAAATGTTAAAATCTTGGGTGTTTATCATTTAAAACACTGTTTTTCGTGGATATGTTTTTCTTTTTTCAATTCGCATTTTGCTATGAATAGATTTTGTTTCTTTTAATTCCAACTAAAGTTCCAACACAGAATTGAAGTGTTAAAACACAGGTAGCCCAAGCTCGAAATATGAGCATCGGCGAGCATCGGCATTGTTGCGTAACATTCAAAATAATATATAGATTTAGCCAAGGCTAAAAGCGAAGCTCCCGTTAATAAATTCATAATTTAAATCAAACAATAAACTTGTAATCCACAGATCAGGGCACATTCATTTGACTTTTGAGGCAAAAGCTGAGTGATTTTACAGAAAAGTCAGAATTTGACCGACTAAGAGTGAAACAAATTTTACATCGAGTTATTAAATAGTCTTATTTGTACACCGAAAAATAGCAATCATGTTCGATCACAGTAGATTAGGCCTGGAAAACAAATAGACCTAATCGTGTATTGTATTTGCATTAGCTGTTGCATCATAATGTGGCATTCACCAGTCTCTCCAACATTGCTCCGTTAGAGAGACTATGGATAACTGGACAACCCCGAAATATAGTTTTAAGAAACACATGCGCCACGATAGTCCTTGGTGGCAGCCAATTTACACGTTGCATTCCTCTGTCTAAAAGAGAGGCCAAAATAAAAAATCAGACCGGATTTTTTGTGTTCGACAAGTTTAGTTTACTAGTACATCTTGGCGACGAATCTGGTGGCGTGTAAACCAGCCTTTTAAACATACTTTTTCTCATCACGTCTCAGGTAAACAGTACTATAAGGCCCTTTTTTTATCATACAGACCTCGGACAGAATTTGTTCTTTTTTGCCCTGTTTAAACCTATAATTCTTCAGTTTTTTCACAATTTTGCAAGAGAATTTGCACTCATTCAATATCCACGACGATCAAAGCACGCGCTTCCTTTGCACAACAAATTATAGCATTGAATTATAAAGCGTTTTCATGAAGAGAATTCTATAATGCCGGGACTTTTCTGTTAGAAAAATCTGGTCCTATGTGATATGCAGGGTAATAATTTTGGGCTTTTAATGAAAACGATAAAAAAAATTTCCCAAAATCACTTTTCGGCCAGCCGGACGCGCGGGTTCTCACTTTTGACAGGCACCAAATTAGCAGTACGATCAATAGAGTTACCATTTACGCTTCAACATGATAGAGAAATTGTTATGTTTAGGTTTTATTTCCCTTTATTCATTCAACTGTGTATGATTTTGTTATGTGTAATCTTTAAAAGCGAGTGATATTTACGCGCGGCGTTTTGAGTATTCCTGCATGCGATGTTTATGTTCGACTGGAAACAACCGGTGCAGCGATGAAAATTGCGAGAGGGACTACTAACAATCAATAAAATAAATTTAATTCGGTGAAACATGTACAGAGACAATAATTTTCATTCCCATCAACTGAAACGGACGAAAAAGAAACTGCAAAAGTACAAAGAACCAAATAATAGAAATATACAAGAAACAACATTGGACATTGTTCATATCCACTGTATTTCTGTTGAAGTTGAGTTCATGGGCTGGAACTCACAATCCTGCACAGTCTTAAATGAGAGATAAGTAACCATCATGTATATTGTTCCTATGAAGATAGCGGTTACGATCGAAATTAAAGCACCAATGTACATGGATTTACGAACTGTGCAAAGAGCAGATGGTCTCAGTCGTTCCCAAGCCATAGTTATGTCCGAGTCTTTATGATCATGATGAGCCATATGTTCCGGTGACTCTTCATTTTCGTCGGGTGAGCATGCGTCGATCACTTTGATGTCAAGACTGCTAGAGGCTAAATATGTCATGCTTGTGGCTTCCCTGACGCTGTATTCCTGGTTAATAAGTTCATCAACAGGTTGATAATACCATTCTCGTCCTGTGCTTTCCAAAGGATTGTAGCCAAATGACTCGGCAGTGAATTCAGGTTCATCTGGATTGTAATGCTCTGTTACACCTCGTGTAAAACCGAACAGGATACGACCTAACACCTCTATCAGTGCAGTGCTACTCATTGTGTTAAAGTAGTCGGTGAATCTTATACATTGCAATACCACAATTCATATTGTCTTAGCTGACATTAAACATGCAAGGCGAGGACTGAGCAGTGGTCAGAGAGGTTAGCTGTTAAAAACTAAAGCAATAATCACTGAAGTTAAGGTATGCATGAAATCAGTTAAGAAAGCGAAACAGTAAAGTGGGTGCGAAAGTTGCCTGATAAACATCAAATCTGCTAAATGCCAAATTTAGTAAGTTGGCAACATCGATGGGATGCAATAAAAATTGGGCACTTTCTTCTGTATCAATTTATAATCACTTGTGAATGTCAAGAGACACACTACTCTTAAGAGACTATCCTTGAAAGAACAAGGTAGGTCCCTTCCGGTACACTTATCACAGGTGGGAAATTACTGCTAATACCATACCATTTTTTATTCATGACGCTTATTGTCTCGCGTGATTAAATTATGGGAAAAGATTGTGGCTGAGGTAATGAGCGGTTGCGAGTTCGAAAGCATTCACTCGTGTTACGTCAGGCGTTTGAGAGTGGTGCTGAGAAATGTTAGTGCTGGTGCTGGTTATTACTTTAACCATTTCTTGTTTCCTTGAGTACATTTTCTGTAAACAAGATCAGATAGTGGTCGCTGAGTGGTTGATTTTTTCCCCCATACTTTTATAAAAATGAAGTTTTATTGAAGTGACTCAACAAGGCCTTTTCAACAGGAAAGTCCTTGACGATTTGTGGAAATTAAAGCAAACACATATGATTTTCCCGTACATGTAAACTCGATAATTTCACTGCACGCATTGACGAAAATGGCAGAAATGGCAATTAATCGCCAAAATCGCCAAACTATAAACAAAAATTCAAATGAGATGGCAAAGGGGCCCTTTGCAAAGTGGCGATTTTGGCGAAAATGGCGTATTTGGTGAAAATGGCAGAAATGGCGCTTGATCGCCAAAATCGCCAAACTGTAAACAGAAATTCAAATGAGATGGCAAAGGGGTCCTTTGCAAAGTGGCGATTTTGGTGAAAATAGCGTATTTGGTGAAAATGGCAGAAATGGCGCTTGTTTGCCAAAATTGCCAAACTGTAAACAGAAATTCAAATGAGATGGCAAAGGGGTCCTTTGCAAAGTGGCGATTTCGGCGAAAATGGCGTATTTGACGAAAATGGCAGAAATAGCAATTAATTGCCAAAATCGCCAAACTATAAACAAAAATTCAAATGAGATGGCAAAGAGGCCCTTTGCAAAGTGGCGATTTTGGTGAAAATGGCTTATTTGGCGAAAATGGCAGAAATGGCGCTTAATCGCCAAAATCGCCAAACTGTAAACAAAAATTCAAATGAGATGGCAAAGAGGCCCTTTGGAAAGTGGCGAAATTAGCCAAAATGGCGTATTTGACGAAAATGGCAGAAATGGCGATTAATCGCCGAAATCACCAAATTATAAACAAAAATGCAAATGAGATAGCACAGGGGCCCTTTGGAAAGTGACGATTTTGGCGAAAATGGCGTGCACTAATTCTGTATCTTTTCATCAACCACAAAAAAAAAAATATATAGAGTGCATGTTGGCCTTGTTCTTAAAACGTGTTTTGGCAGAAATGGCAATTACTCGATGAAATACCTAATTTGTCAAGACAAATTGAAATGACATAGCAAAGGGTCCCTTTTGAAATGGCTATTAATTGCCAAATAGTTAACCACATATTAATATAAAAATGTTTCCAATAGTATAATTGTATACTAATAATGACAACGCTACTGTAACTTAAGTGTCATTAATTAACAATTAATGAATGAGGCTGAGTATCTTATGAAGAATTATGGAGATCGAGGAGGGTGTTATCCGTCTAGGTCGTAGGCCGAGGTGGATAACACCCTCCGAGATCTCCATAATTCTTCATATGATACGAAAGCCGAATTCATTTATTGTTTTATTATTCATTTAAAATAATTCCTAGTTTAAAAACATGGCTAAAACATGCTTACCTCCATCGATCCATCGATGTTAAATTCATCTTTGATAGTGCACGTTTAGGTTTGTCCAGCTCTGCATATATTCTCCAAATAGCAGATGTCGCCCTTCAAGTTGACTTCTTGCTGTTCTTGCCATGTTTTTAGCTATTTTTTTGCCTAGGTCTTACTCTTGAAACAAGTGAAATGACCGCCATTTTTGTTTCCACGACCAAAACAACTCAACCTCGTCCCCAGGTCTTCTCGGTTAACGGTGCCTTAACCTGCACGAACGCTGCATTTTTGACGTCATTTCCTCGTTAAACACAAAATTCTTTCAAATTTGGTCATCAGTAACTTGTTATGGTGAATTAAATGTGTGCTTTTAGCCAATCAGAATCGGGGAAATATTTTGAATGAATAATAATCTGTTTTTAATGCTTTTACCTTTAATTGATAACCTCTTGTGATTTGAAATTCGTCCCAGACAAGAGTGTTTGGTCGGGAATTACCACTTATAACTAATTTCTTGCTCAATTCAAATCCAATGGCCAACGAGTTGTATTCGATTATCAGTAAATGGTAATCTTCGTAATGTTCATGGCAACTTTCTTACCAAAAAATCCAAGATAGGTATCCTTAATTTTCCAGGCTTGTAGGCATTGTTTGAATAGCGACAGTTCAACATTATATGTTATGAGGAATCCAGGTTGGTTCTTGGCTACGCATTCAGATAATTAGATGGTCCGTATTGCCTTGTATATCCATCCTGTTTGTTATAATGGCGTTCAATCGTACAAGTATATATAAACGAG